TAATTTTTTTTTAATTTAGGATTTGTTTTATGTCCCAGTAACTTCTACTTTAAAGAAGCCTTCATGCATGGCTAAACAGAAAGTATATTCTTTGGTGTTTAGATTGAATATCCTGTACATCTCTGTTAAGTTCATTTGATATTTGGTGATATTAGCTCTGATGATTCTCTGCTTATTGTTTGTCCAGATGGCCTGTTTGGTTTTGTTTGGTTTTTTGAGAAAATTTGGTATTGCTATCACCTACTATTAATGAGTTGGAGTTAATCTGTGTTTTTAATTACACCATTTACTCCTTATAAAACTGGATATGCCAGAATTTCAGTGTGTGTGTGTGTGTGTGTGTGTGTGTGTGTATTTACTTCTTTATTTTAAGATGGCAATGTCTTCTGAGTTAATTATGTCCAGATTAAAATGAAGTATCCTTTTTCTCTTCTAATTAATTTATTTAGAGTCTATTCTGTCAGAGATTAAGATAGTGACTCCTTTCTTGCTTTCTGACCCCATTTGCTTGGCATTGTGTCTTCAATCTTTTCTCTTTAAGGCAGTATCTATCTTTGAAGGTAAGATAAGTTTATTATACACAGACCAATGGGTTTTCTCTCTTAATCTATTCACTAATTTGTATCTTTGGTTGGGAAGTTGAGGCCATTAGTGTGTAAAGTTACTGTTGAAAAGTGTGTGTTTGTTGCTTTCATGTTATTGTTTCTGCTTTTCCCTGTTTTGTACTTAGCCCTGTTTTGTATCTCAGGATTTTAGCTTCATTTTTTTTTCTTTCTCTAGTGTCCTGGCTATATTTATTCTTCTCTTCAGTCCAAGATATTGCTTCCCATTTTTATATTCTCTGTCGAGATGGTTTGGTGGACTTTAATTCTTTTAGTCTGTTTATATCATGGAATGATTTTCTTTCTCTTTTGAAGTGTGGTAGATAGTTTTGCAGGATATAGTAGTCTAGGTTGGGATTCACAGTTTTTTAGCCAGGTTCTGGCTTTTAAAATCTTAAAGTTTGAAAAATCAACTGTTATTCTAGCAGGGTTTCCTGTATATGTGACATATGGTTTGTCTCTTGCAGCTTTCAGTACCTTTTTTGTTCTGCATACTTAGTGTTTAGCTAGAATACACTGTGGGACATTTTTTTTTTCTGGCCCCGTCTATGCTTTCTATTTGTAGAGATGTTATTTCATGTCATTCAGTAAAATTTTTAGTTTGTCTTCTCATTTAGATTTCTTTCCTGATACAGTAGAATCATGGTTTCCATTTCTATTTCAGAGTTGAGGAAACCTTAGTTGATATATGTTTACCTAATATATGATAATCTGCCCAAAGTTACTTCTAGTCAGTTTCTTCAAGTAGGTTCTCCTGGGATACCAATATCACCTTCCTTTTCTATGAACTCCACGGTGTGCCTGTGTCCTCAGAGTGCATGAGGCTGCAGGAGTCTATGAAGAGAAGTGGTTTATGAGACACAGATTCCAGGCCTCTAGTTCATGGAGGAATTCCTCAGAACCAGCCCAGCTGAGAGCATGGAAATATTGTTTAAAGGTTGAAAGTGGGTGCTGTACAGTCCCTCTACTAGGAAAGGCTGATTGATTTTCTTTCTTTCTTTTTTATTTTTTTTAATTTTTTTTTAAATTAAAACTTTCCACCTCCTCCCATTTCCCTCCCTCTCCTCCTTCCCCCTCCCCCTCCCTCTCCAGTCCAAAGAGCAATCAGTGTTCCCTGCCCTGTGGGAAGTCCAAGGTCCTCCCCTCTCCATCCAGCTCTAGGAAGGTGAGCATCCAAACAGACTAGGCTCTCACAAAGCCAGTACATGCAGTAGAATCAAAACCCAGTGCCATTGTCCTTGGCTTCACAGTCAGCCCTCATTGTCAGCCACATTCAGAGAGTCCAGTTTGACCACATGCTCCATTAGTCCCAGTCCAGCTGGCCTTGGTGAGCTCCCATTAGATCAGCCCTGCCATCTCAGTGGGTGGGCACACCCCTCGCGGTCCTGACTTCCTTGCTCATGTTCTCCTCCTTTGGACCTGGGGAGCTAAGTCCAGTGCTCCAATGTGAAGCACTGTCTTCTATCTCCTGTATATCCTGTCTCTATCTCCATGCATCGCCAGATGAAGGTTCTATGGTGATATGCAAGATATTCATCAGTGTGGCTATAGGATAGGGCCAGTTCAGGCGCCCTCTCCTCAGCTGCCCAAGGAACAAACTAGGGACATCTTCTTGGACACCTGGGAACCCCTCTAGAGTCAAGTCTCTTGCCAACCCTAAAATGGCTCCCTTAATTATGATGTCTACTTCCCTGCTCCCATATCCGCCCTTCCTCCATCCCAACCATCACATTCCCCCAAGCTCTCCTCATCCTCCCCTTCTTACTTCTCTCTCCCCATCTCCTCTTACCCCCACCCCACGCCCACCCCCAATCTCCCAATTTTTGCCTGGCAATCTTGTCTACTTCCAATATCCAGGAGGATAACCATATGTTTTTCTTTGGGTTCACCTTCTTACTTAGCTTCTCTAGGATCATGAATTATAGGCTCAATGTCCTTTAATTATGGCTAGAATCCACCTATGAGTGAGTACATACCATACTCATCTTTTTGGGTCTGGGTTACCTCACTCAGAATAGTGTTTTCTATTTCCATCCATTTGCATGCAAAATTCAAGATGTCATTGTTTTTTACTGCTGAGTAAAACTCTAATGTGTATATATTCCACACTTTCTTTATTCATTTTTCCATTGAGGGGCATCTAGGTTGTTTCCAGGTTCTGGCTATTACAAATAATGCTGCTATGAACATAGTTGAACAAATGCTTTTGTAGTATGATAGGGCATCTCTTGAGTATATTCCTAAGAGTAGTATTGCTGGATTCTGGCGTAGGTTGATCCCGAATTTCCTGAGAAACCGCTACACTGATTTCCAAAGTTGTTGCACAAGTTTGCATTCCCACCAGCAATGGAAGAGAATTCCCCTTACTCCACATCCTCTTCAGCAAAGGCTATCATTGGTGTTTTTGATTTTAGCCACTCTGACAGGTGTAAGACGGTATCTCAAAGTTGTTTTGATTTGCATTTCCCTGATCACTAAGGAGGTTGAGCATGACCTTAAGTGTCTTTTGGCCATTTGAGCTTCTTCTGTTGAGAATTCTCTGTTCAGTTCAGTGCCCCATTTTTTAATTGGGTTAGTTAGCATTTTAAAGTCTAGTTTCTTGAGTTCTTTATATAATTTGGAGATGGAAAATCAGAGAAACATCACTTTTCACAATAGCCACAAATAGCATAAAGTATCTTGGGGTAACTCTAACCAAGGACATGAAAGAACTATTTGACAAGAACTTTAAATCTTCGAAGAAAGAAATTGAAGAGGATACCAGAAAATGGAGGGATCTCCCATGCTCTTGGATTGGGAGGATCAACATAGTAAAAATGGAAATTCTACCAAAAGCAATCTATAGATTCAATGCAATCCCCATCAAAATCCCAACAAAATTCTTCACAGACCTTGAGAGAACAATAATCAACTTTATATGGAAAAACAAAAAACCCAGGATAGCCAAAACAATCCTATACAATAAAAGTACTTACGGAAGCATTACCATTCCTGACTTCAAACTCTATTACAGAGCTATAGTAATGAAAACAGCTTGGTATTGGCACAAAAAACAGAGATGTTGACCAATGGAATTGAATCGAAGACCCAGATATTAATCCACAAACCTATGAATACCTGATTTTCGACAAAGGGGCTAAAAACTATACAATGGAAGAAAGAAAGCATCTTTAACAAATGGTGCTGGCATAACTGGATGTCAACCATCCAGAATGAAAATAAATCCATATCTATCACCATGCACAAAACTCAAGTCCAAATAGATTAAAAACCTCAATATTAATCCAACCACACTGAACCTGACAGAAGAGAAAGTGGGAAGTAGTCTACAACACATGGGCACAGGAGACCACTTGGTGTGGGAGATTTGTCTGTATTCTTTCAATCATTTTAATAAAACGCTGATTGGCCAGGCAGGCAGTATAGGCGGGAAAGCCAGACAGGAAGTAGGGGTGGAGCAAAGAGACTGGGAGTATTCTGGAAGCAGAGCTCCCTCAGCATTCCTGCGCAGACCACCGAAGAGGCAGCATGTAACTTGCCCAGCTGAGAAAGGTACGGAGCCATTTTGGCTAACATAGATAAGAATAATGGGTTAATATAAGTTATAAGAGTTAACAAGAAGCCTGACCTAATCAGCCAATCAGTTTATAACCTTATGGAGCCCTGTGTGTGATTTTCTTTGGGGTTTGCCGGCTGTAGGGTACCGGGCAGGACAGAAACCCCAACAAGCCGGCCCCTCATGTTACAACCACTTCCTACGTAGAACCTTTGTAGCACTGACAATAAGAGCAACAATGAATAAGTGGGACCTCCTAAAACTGAGAAGCTTCTGTAAAGCAAAGGACACTGTCATTAACACAAAAAGGCAACCTACTGATTGGGAGAAGATCTTTACCAACCCCGCAACAGACAACGGTCTGATTGATTTTCTTTAATCCACCATAGTGAGATTCAGATCACTGTGGTTTATAGTCTGTAATTCAAAAGGAGAAATATGATTATTTAATTTAAATAATTGGTATTATAATGTGTTGTAAGCATATGACTGTTTAAATCCATCCTGCTCTTCAGATATCTAGCAGAAGCTGTAGAGTGGCTCATCTAAGTGATGTCCGAAACTATCTTAAGGGTTAAACAAGAAAGAATGTTTGGAGATCCTCTGTGGGGCTGCAACATTTCTTGTTAAAGTATTTTATGGTTGCTTCTGGAAGAGATGTGTATGGGGCAATACCAGGCCCTTCAGCTACTTTGCCTTTGTAGGGGTGTTTAGGCATCCCTCAGCTTACAGTCTGGCCCAATTGTTTAAACCTTTAACAAGGTCAGGATTTGATGGCTTTGTGTGTTTTATATACTGTAATAAGCTTTTAAATCTTCCCCTATTTATTTTTATTTTAACAGGCAATGGAAATGAATATAAACTATATCCTGAGCTTTCTAGCTATCGTGAGAAAACTGGTAAGTGAAACTGTATTGCTTCAAAATGATTTGTAGCCACCCTACAATCACAAAATTTCCAGTTAATTTGATGGGTTATGGAAATTTCTAGGAAAGTGTTCAAGACTCTAAATTGTAGATATTCTTTAGTGACAAATCACATGCCTTTGTTCTCTGGAAGGCCTTGAGAGACCAGTGGAGACTGTGGGAGCCAGCATTGCCATTTGCAACCCATGGTTTTCTAGTAAAAATATTTCTCAACTTGTTTTTCTTAAATACTCCTTGGAATTTTTTCTTGAAAGGATTATGCACTTAAAGAAAAAGTGAAAATGAGCATACATTGAGGTCAAAGATTAAACAGTCATTAATTTAGTGTCCTAACCTTTTGCCACTAAGGCCATCATATAATGTGTTACTGAATTTATAAACTATTGAGAAATTGGCCATCTTGTGTGAGGATAAGTAATATTGTCAAAAAAGCAGATAATCAAAATGTTAAATATTATCATATACATGAAATTATTTTCAGTGTCTATTTTGGTGAATCTGGGTCTTTTAGCTTTTCCTGGCTCATGCTTCCTGCTGTGATCCCGTGACCGTGGTTCTGTTCTAAGTTGGTGCACACAAACAAAGCACTCGTGGAAGCCAGCAGACAGTTTACAGTAGTCAGTTCTTTTCCTATTGTGTTAATTCTTGGGATCTATCTCTGTTTTCCATCTTTGAAAGCAGAAGATTCTAAGTTTGTTAGGTGAATCTCACGGAGATTCTGCAGTGTGGGTTCTGACACCCGTTAGAAAACCCAAAATTAAACCCTGACTGCTCAGTTTCTATTTTTGCAACCTATACTTCAGCTGCTTTCCTAACATATTTACAGCCCAACATCATTTTCTTGTTCTAGGCAATTTGAATCAGCCAATAGAGGTGACAGCACTCTACTCTTTCGAGGGGCAACAGCCAGGGGATTTGAATTTTCAAGCTGGAGACAGAATCACAGTTATATCAAAGACTGACTCACATTTTGACTGGTGGGAAGGAAAACTTCGAGGCCAAACTGGAATTTTTCCAGCCAACTATGTAACTATGAATTAAAGTTCATGCAATTTTGTTATTTGATAATTGCTCAGAAATATTTCTACACGGACAGGATTCATTTATTTGCATTAATCTGTTGAAACACTTCTTTGCTCTGCCAATGTTTTCTCCAGTTATAGAAGGTTTTTCTCTACATATAAATAAATGGTTAAATTAACTTGTCGCTAAACTCTTTGTATTAATTTAATCACATAAACCATTCTACAGTTGTCATCAAAGATTTTTATGGTCATATCTTTCATACTCATCACAGCCCACTTACCCTTGAGTAATATAACTCCTCACTACCATGGTTTTAGTGCAAACCAAGCATGGCTTGGGAGCACTGCTCACCTTTATATGAATATGGGTCAACCTCTGGGCATCTAGGTAGAGTAGAGGTTTGTTCTTTTCACTTAACAAGGTTTTAGTAATTAAACAAGCTTGTGCAGTTAAAGCATAGGAGGCTCCCATGGAGTAGAGAGGCCTCAGAGCCTCAGGAAGAAAGTCTGTATCTGTCTACCACCTTGCCAATGTTTTGCTATCCATTGTCTCCCAAGACAAACCATAGAAACTTGGCTTTCTGTGCCCCACGAAATATCTTAGAAACTAGAACTTCTTTTTCTCCAAGCAAATCTTCATGCTTAGAAATAATAACCATCCCTCAGTCCTCTGTTTTTCCATCTTGGAACTAACTATAAAGAAATTCTCTAATGTGGTTTGCCTACTAAATCATAAGACTCGCACTAGGCACAGGCGAGGAATGTCATCAGGTGGTGGCCTTTTGCCAGCTGCAGTTATGCACTGCTGACCATTCTTCATGGAACCTAAGTATAAATCAGTCTGGAGACTCCCATAAAAGATGTCCAGTAAAATGATAATCAAATATATTTCCTTTACTCCTCCCCTGTTAACCTGTCTTTAGAGGATGAGTATCATCATGGATCACTTCCTTTTCTCCTCTGAAGTGAGCAAGATCAAATCATCTTACATAACACTGGAAGCATGTGTCCTGTAAAAGGACTTAGCTATTTTGGTTAACTTGTAAGCCTCATGACTGATCTTAAACAATGTACCCAACCTCTATGCCTCAGTTTCCTTACTTTTTATGATTTACATAAAATACTTAGAACAGTGTTGATCGTGTAAAGAAATCATTAAACCTTAGCAACTAATGTTGTATTTCTTTCTATGACAAAGAACCCTGCCTTTTCTCCTTTCCATTTGGAATGCCCATATAACCAAGACACACTACATGCAAAGAAGCCTTGTTTCACATTTCCTGTGTGTTCAGATGCTGAGGTGGCTCCCTGGCACAGCCACAGCACAATGTTCAGGATGCCTCCTAACGCTGATTCTCTCAGCCCTGTCCTCCTCCTAGAGTTCATCCTCTGAGTGCCTTCTTTTCTGACACCTGTCCAACCCTCTCAGGGCGCAGAGTGCCAGACCACTGTCCCATCTGCTAAGCCCTGTCTGGGAAACCCAGATCCCAAAAGGTTTGTGTTGTCTGGGGAGTGGTCTCTCAAAGCTACAGGGGTGTTTGTACTCTCTCTAACAGGTCAAGTGAACATATGGACAGATAAACCTGAGGGCTGATCCACAGGTATTTTCAGACCACCTATTTTGTCGAAGAAAAACTGAATGAAGGTAACCTAATAAAGAGAAAGAACAATGAAGTCCGAAGTCAAAGCTAAGGAGCTGCAGTGTGCTTAGACGCTGATAATGCTATAAAGAATGTTATTGTTAGCACATAGAAGCAGGTGTAGCTCCCTCAAAGGTGGCTTGGGAGGCCCATCCGTGGAGCATGTGACCTAAAGACTCAAGGAGTGAGAGAACTCTAAAGGATTCAGATGTCTTGTACAATGTGGTGACTGACTGTACTTGATGATGACATGTCCTGTTCTTGAAAATTACTAAGGCAGTCAATTTTAAGTGTTTTCACCCCATGATGTATACTGTAAGTAGATTTAATTACTCCACAATGTTTATATCATCCAAAACATTTTCTCATACATGATATTAAGACATCAATTTTACTTTTCAACTAAAATAGATATTTAGAAAGAACTTTTAGGTAAAATTAGAATATACTGGATATATGAAAAGATTTTATAAGCCGAAGAAAGAAGGAGTATTTTAGCTAGAGAGATCGTGAAGGCAGAAGGAAGGATTGTTGCACCTAGGTTTGCAGAGACCCATGGAGGAGGATTTCATTTTGTATATCTGTATTTTCGTAACGGGAACACCCTCGTCCTAGAACTGTAGATGGGCGATGAGAAACAAAGGCTGTGAACATGATCCAGATAGATGTTTTAGAGGTTTGTATGTTAACAGAATGGTTTGCAGGATAAACGGCCATCAATAAGTTAGCTGTGATCATAAACAGTTGAAAGTAGGAAATGAAGCAGTCAGCCTTCATTGCCAGCCACATTGAGAGGGTCCAGTTTGATCACATGCTCCATCACTCCCGGTCCAGCTGGCCTTGGTGAGCTCCCATTAGATCAGTCCCACTGTCTCAGTGGGTGGATGCACCCCTCGTGGTCCTGACTTTCTTGCTTATGTTCTCCCTCCTTCTCCTCATTTGGACCTTGGGAGCTCAGTCCAGTGCTCCAATGTGGATCTCTGTCTCTATCTCCATCCATCTATAATTCGGGATCCTAGAGAAGCTAAATAAGAAGGTGAACCCAAAGAAAATCATATTGTTATCCTCCTGGATATTGGAAGTAGACAAGATTGCCAGGCAAAAGTTGGGTGCACGGGGGTGGGGATGGGGTGGATGTAAGGGGAGATGGGTAGAGAGAAGGGAGAAGGGGAGGATTTGGGAGAGCTTGGAGGAATGGGATGGGTGGGATGGAGGAAGGGCGGATATGGGAGTAGGGGAGTTGTGGGTTTGTAATGACGTGGAAAGATCTGAAGTCAGTACTAGAATCTGGAAACATTTCCGATGTAGTTTGTGATTAAAAACAGGGAGATTTGTTGAGGCTACACCTGTGCTCAATGTTTGTCAGAAATAGAAAGGAACAAAAGAAAAAGTACATATGTAGGAAAAAGGTGTCCACTTGGCTCAGAGTTCTAATGCACGAGGCCATGACATGGGGGACTCAGCAGTTCCCTGAGTCACCATGGGCAACCCAAGCAGAGCCCCAGGGGCAATCGCCTGAGTTAGCACTGGCAGAGGCTCTGAGGCAGGTACAGAGTCTGGGGCCACTTTCCATGCTTACACTCATAGGAAGGAATGAAAAGATTCTTAAGCTAAATCCTGCTGGCAGAATCAGCGAGTGGAACTATGCAATTGTTAGAGCTTTTGCTATAATCTCATGAACACTTGTTTGATTTTTATGCTTGGTTCTTGAAAAGTTTGAAGGAGCTCTAATTGGCCTATAACTTTAGGAATTGTGTCGACTATTCATTTTAGTGACAAAGGGTATTCATTCCCCAACTGTATGCCACAAAAAAATTAAAATAGCTTATGTTATGTTTCAAAACTGTTGACTTTAAATTATACAGTCTTCTGCTAAGGATTAGCTAATGAATGCCAACCAGACAGACTTCCCCAAGCTTAGATCAGTAGCTCTGGGAGCTCCCTTAGGAACCTGGTTACTAAATGAGCTCAGTGAAGTTGGTCCAGTTATTGGCTCAGTAATAAACATACCAAAGCATATCTGTTGAATTTGGGGGTTAATTAATAGTTTGCCAAGATATTCTATATTACTGAAATGAAAAAAGTCAGAGAGTGAAACAGTAGAAATAGGTCATTTAATTACACTTTAAAAATATATACTTAAAAGGAAACCATACATCCAACTGATAACAGGGCTGCATCTGCCCAGTCTGTACAGGAGACATCAGCTGTAAATGTACATTTTTTTTAATAAGAAAAGTTCTTTACACTTAGAAATATGCTTAATGAGCCCTAGTGAACAAATATAGATCTGTTCTTACTTCTGTGATCCTGGGAGAGGGAAAGAGGAGACAAAGCCACTGTCCAGGGAGCACCAACTTCACTGGCTACATAGATAGCCAAGGGTGATGGGCAGTGTGATACCCATTGCCTTCCTGATAAGGGCGTACTTGCTGGCAAAGGCCAGGGCACCAGAGAATCACAGCAGCTGACTGTAGCTCTGTCAACCCACAGAACATGAATCTATCATACTAAGGGGACACATAGGTCCTTTATTAGGTCTGCGGGTCCCAAGTTGTTGCTGTCTAGAAGGGTGTTGGAGCTCCATAGAAATGGTTATAGCCTTGTCCTCTAAGGTGCTGCCCCTTCTCCCAACAGGCACAAATGGAAACAAAGGCGAGACTTAGGACCCAGGGTTCAGCTCCTATGGCCACCTGTGTGTCATCAATTACATGTCCTACAGACATTTCTCTTGGTCTGGACACCTGTGTGTCATCAAGTACACATCCTACAGACATTTCTCTTGGTCTGTGCAGAACCAGCCCTGCTTTTCAGTGCAGGGCATAAACACCTCCTGGTGGTCTCATGTAAGAGTGTCAGGCAGGACAGCTGTTACTGAAATGAAACCTGATCTACAAGACTGGAATTCTGGAGTCTTTGGGTTTCTAAGAGAAAGGCCCTGGCTTCAGACCCTAAAGCCTAGTAGTCTGGAAAACGTCTTAGCGTTTCCTTCAGAAGAGGTCATAATTTTAGATGTAGTGCTCAAAAAGGCATACAGAAAGTAGAATTGTTGGTAAAAATAAGAACAAGATGAAAGGTGAAGACCCTGTGTTCTGATTAATTTTGTTTTGCAGTGTGTTTTGCTTTGGTTTTTGACCACTTAATACAAGCTAGCCGTTTGAGAAGAGGAAACCTCAACTGAGAAATTGCCCCCCTCCAGGCTGACCAGTAGGCAAGACTCTGGAGATATTTTCTTCATTAATGACTGATGTGGGAGGCTCCACCCTACCACTGTGCGTTGTGTTACCACTGGGCAGGTGGTCTTAGATGGTGTAAGAAAGCAGGCTGAGCCAGTAATGGGGAGCGAACCAGTAAGTGGCATTCTTCCATGGTTTCTGCTTTGAGTTCCTGTCCCTACTTCCCTTCATAATATAAGCTGGAAATTAAAATAAACCTTTTTCTCCCCAAAGCTGTTTCCAGTCACTGTGGGTTTTTTTATAGTTTTTTATTGAGCTATACATTTTCCCCATTCCCTACCTTTCTCTCCTCTCTCCTTC